AACACAACCGTCGTAATTGAACATTTGTCGATTTATAGCCGACAAGTACGATACGTAAAATCCTTGACCCGAGACTTGGCTCGAGACTTTATTTATTACTTTTCGAGTAATGATTCACGCAAGCCTTAGTGACGGTACGATGTTCCAAAGAAAAGTTTGATCATTCAGTTAAATCAAATTTGCTCGTTATTATTATAATTCGCGCGTGTCTATTCGATTTATAATTTCTTAAACGAAATGTTGCGTTTATCTATGAATTACAAGCGATATATCGTATTGTCCGTAATCTAAACCAAGTCAAGCAATGATTTCAAAATTTCTTTCGTTCTGTTTTGCAAACGCTCATACTACGAGTATGCTGTAAAATACAACTGGCTACGTTGAGCGTTACACGTTGATTCTTTTCGCTCGAAAAAATATGTATTGCGATCTTGGACAAGTATCCACAACACGGATCAATGTTCCGACTAGCTAGAGGCGTTAGAAATAATTATAGAGTCATAGGTGAGTCGAGCTCTGCACAGAATAAACAGAAAACCATGTTAGAACTCTTACACCTCTCTCGGAGATCGATAACATCGTTACATTTGAGAAAAAAGTTGAGAAGCACTGTCCCGGGTGATACTACTACTACTACCTATTGCTATCCTAAACGTCTCGAGAAAGCGAACGCTGATCGATCGGGTACCTGCCTGCCACTTGATCCTCGTCGCCCGATGATTTAATTAAAGGTACCCCGATATCAAGGGCTGATGTATCCGGTGTACCGTTACGTTCTGCACCATTATCGGATCACCCCGAGGATACCGGCATAATAGACTAAAATTCGCTTTATATCATCCACCATCGCTATAATCACGATGCTGTTATTCGGGATCAGATATTGTACACGTTAGATAAAGCGCGTTACATTATCGCGTCTCGACTAATACCGTGAAAATCTTCCGAATTTTTCGCGTAGAAAAGAGAGACCGTCGAAGAAAAGAAGGCATACTTTTGCAAGGGAGATGTTCTGTATTTTATTCTTACGCAGAGAAAAGTGCTAGATTTAAGTAAATAATCAAAAAGCTTCGCCCTCCAATATTCCTTAGCAAGTGTTTACTTGGATCAAATAAATATATTTTGCTTAGAAAGTATTTTACTTGGATGAAGTAAATATTACATGATTCAAGTAAAAATGTATTAAGGAGCGTCGGAGTAATTATTTACTTGAATCTATCACTTTTTTCTGTATAATATACTCTTACATAAAGTACTTTCATAGCAGCAAAATTGCCCGCTTGCCAACCAAAGTAAGAAAGACGTGCAAATAAGAAAAGTGGCAACTAATTATTAGCGATATTGTCATCGCTATCATCGACGAATTTCGGGGCTTTCGCGAGACACGGTCGCGAGACCGAACGACCTTCTGAGCCTCTCGCGAATTCTATTCTTCGTGACAGAGCGACCCGGAGATCTTGGCAAGCGTTCAAGCACTCGCTCAGTATTCGTCGAGTTGCTCGCGACCGCCTCGCGTTTTTTTTTTCCTGCGGTTCCTGCACCCGCGATTATGCGCTCTCGAGATTTTCTAAGATCGAGGTCGACCCGAATTGTGTGACGGACAAGGAGAGAGGATCGCAGGAAACCCGGTTACATCGTGTCGTTTGATCCGATTTACATTCCGAGTTCGCATTAAAAAGAAGACGGAGAGAAGGAGAGACGGAGAGAGACACATACACAGAGAGAAAGAGAAAGAGAGAGAGAGAGAGATCCGACGTGTTTACGCGACGATGCAGTTGCACGATCGCAACGTCCGGACGATAGCCAATTGGAATATTAAGTGAGCAATCCTTAAATGACTTCGTTGTATCGTACACAATTTGTTTTTCCTTTTTCTTCTTCTCCTCTTCGTGCGAGAAGGCGCGTTCGGTATGTGCGGAATGAGCGAGCGCAAAGTAGCGCAATGAAGTCACCAAGAGAGACAACGTGCGGCCCTGCGCCGCGCCGCCTTTTGACAGCAGAAAAATTGCGTACGTGTTTGGGCCAGAAGCGTCGAGTTCGAGGATAAAAAGAGCACCGAGAAACGTACGGGACGTCCATCGGCCTCGTCGCGAGCCGGAGGAAGGCTTGTCCGGCCGGCGATCATTAAGGCGACCGTTTATACCGCTCGTGTATGTACTCTTTCTTTTTCATTATTTTTACGACGTCGCGACTTCAATGAGTTTCGCTACTCTCTCGCGCCCAAAGTAGGCGCGAGATGTGGAAAGGAGGTAATCGCGTATCGAAGTGGTCGCCCCCGCGGATCGAACGCCAATTAGAAGCTTGATCGGACACCGTGCGCTTTCGACGTTCCAACTTAGTCGCGTTCGCGCTGTTAAAAAGCCTAGAATGAGAATTTAAGATGTAAGACTTGAAGCTTTAAGTCTTAAGCTGTAATAAATTGACGAAGTACAATCGATTATTCTTCTCACATTCGACTGTGATTGGTCAATTTTTCTCGGTTTAAGGCTCAAAGCTTAAGTCTTACACCTTAAATTTTCATTGCAGACATCGCTTTATATGCGCAGGTTTTAGTTGGTGTGGATACTTGTACGCGTGATATAAGATTTTGAAAATAGCTAGAAGCTAGAGCGAATAACACACGTGGTCGGGTTTAAGGTGCTTTATTCCGGGCTCCTTTGGTATACGAGTGATGTCGCTCTTACAAACAGCTACAGAGAACTTGGTCTTTACTGTTCGGCAGCTTTACGAGGACCGACTCAAGAGGATTCTGAAGTCGTCTTTTTATCGTAAATTTTCTAGTATTATACTCGTTATTAGCTGTATAGAATTAAAAACCCTTTTGCACAATTGCAATACACACATCAATATAAGCGAGGACGGTTGACTTTTGTTCGAAAAACGGAAAAAGTTAACAAATTATATAACTTCTTTTTGATTTTCAAATAAAGCCAACCGTTCTCGCCTATATTAACATGTGTATTGTAATTGTGCAAAAGGAATTCTATGCAGCCAGTAACGAATAAAGAAATCTGCGATAAAACGAAACGACTCCAGGATCCTTTTAAAGCTACCTAATTTAGGTTTCGACGGACAATCGAAAATATGGATTCGCTTGCATGAGTCACTTCAAAATTTATGAATTTAGGGTCAGGGGTCCAGTCTACCAGGATATTCAAGGTTCAAAGGAAAGCGTTTGTTTTCGTTCGAAGGAATAGGTTCAAAGCTACTTACACAGACACTATCCAAACTATCGGAAAATATATCAGATCGATAAAAGATTTCAGAGAAAAGATAAAGGCTCGTGTTACGGCACGTCCAGGAAATGCAGTCACTCCGCTAAAAGTATTCCCTACCGCTTGATTATCCGTCGACCCGCGAGTTTCGCGAACGCTGCAACGCCGACGGACGATACGAGGATCGTAATCTTCACGGATAGCAATTAAATCACGCACTTCCGGCATTGCGTTTGCGCAACCTCGAGAAGAAAAAGAGAAAAGGGAGAAGAAGGTCACGAGTGGTCTTCCTCGTTGACGCTTGTCTGATGCTTGTCGTTCCCTCGACTATAAATCGATATCGTCGTCTTATCGTTTTCTACGCAGCGGGTGTGCTGCTTTTTGATGAAGTCGCCTATTAGGGACACGTCCTTGTTCGAACGAAGTATGAAAAGTGCCTTTTTTCTCTGCCTCTTTTTTCGCTCACCTCTTTCTCATCGGCTTCGGCGCCGCACACGATACTCCCGATATCGCGGTACTTCGAATGTAGGCTGGATATTAGGGTTATCTGGGCTAATGACATCACTGCGCGAGGCCGCAGTATCATTCGGCTTATTGGGGTATTCGTCATGCTCTCACGAGTTATTATTAGCTGCAGCGGCCGTCTCATATTTCGAGTGGCGAAAATTTCGGCGACTTCGTCGCAACATCCTTGAAGGACGTGTTTGCGAGAGTATTTTCGGAGAAGCACGGTGTTTCCCGCAGTACTAGACTTTTTGCGAATTTAAAATCGAATTATTCTCCGACAAGATACATATATGAAAAATCTGATCTGAGTGAGTAATGAATTTTTCACGTCGATTTCTTCCCGCATAGTTGTTACTTCAACGAGAATTTAATTCTGCGAGTTACTTATCTTGCGATAACGTATTTGCATCTTTTATTGCGCTACTTTGGCGCTATAAATAGAGAAGTTATCGTCATTTTTTCCGCTTGAAAATTCAACGTAGAACTAAAATTTCAGCTCTGGAGAAATAAATTCCCTTTGTGGCATTAAAGAAGCATCGATCGTTTCCTCCGCTTCAAGATTCAATGAAGAATGAAAAATTTCGACTCGGAGACACTAGGATACCCGTCCGCGCGGTGCATCTGCCGTGCAGCGGGCGAAAGCGCTCTCAGCACGTGCTGCTAACGGGGCATCGTGCAGCACGTGCGCGCGTTGGCGCCATTAGCACGCCACGATGCGTTGATAATTGCATATCTCACACGGAAATAAGTTTCCGCCGTAATAAATATTCCGCGCGGCGCGGAAAGGTTGCGCGGGAGGCCGGGATCCGCGCGCAGTCGGTTAATGGGAAATACGACGGTTGCGTAACTCGTCGATACACGTTGATCGTACAACGCGCGGGATCTTGCCGGTAACGAGAGGAGTCACGAAGCGCGCCGGTTATGTGTAGCGCGTGAACAGTTATAATCAACGGTCAATTAACCCGCGAAATGCTTAATGATTGGTTTCACCGGTTAAAGTAACTAAACTGGCTGCGCGAAGGAGTCGGTAATTTTCACATATCCGTCCGTTAGCCAGCTTTCGGCTGCACTCTAGAGAGCCGTGGAGTGGTGTTATATGCTGTTATATGCACGTAGTAAGGGCGGTTGAGCGTATCATTTTAATATTAGATCCAACGCCAGTCCCAGCGGTTTCGTGCGCCGATGGAAGGCGATCGGTTATTTCCGGCTGGCAATTGTCACTTACTTAGCGCGTATTCGCTTGTATTAGAAAATGGCCGTTAAATTGTTCGCACTCACGCATTAAATGCCGCCCCTCTCGGTATTCTTTCCTTCAGATATCTGTTTGGATGCGAGGAATCTCTTTCTCTCCCTGTGTCTTCTCCGTCAGCGCCGCGCACCCATCGGTTGCATCAACAGTTCGGATTTATGCACCGTCTGCCCTTTCGAGATGCGCCCGAGCTCCGGTTGTTACGAGCCACCATGGAACACCATATGTGCTCCGAATGATAAAGGATAAAAATAAAAAGCGCGACGGTACAAATGCGCGTAGCGTTTCGTTTCACTTCGAAATATCTCTCTTTGTCTCTTCTTGATATATTATCTCGATATATTACCCAACGCCCACGCGCTTTTCCGTGAAAAGCGACGGACAGCGCTTAATCCGGAGAGCACGTAAATCTTATCGCATTACATTGTCTTTCATCGTAATATGAGTTAAGTGTGTGTTTACTTTCGTTTTTCTCTCTCCGAAGAACAGCCGACGTTCGGCAGACCTTCACCTCGGCGAAGCCGTCGATTATTCGATTAGACGATCATAATCGTATTTACACCGCACCAATGAGACTGTTACTTTTTCCTCGTTGAAGACGCGAGACAAGATTATCCCGAAGTGCTTGAGTAATCGGCCGTATTTGTCTGATCTTTTTGAAGAGGCGAAACGGTCGCCTCTCTCGTAACGCAACGCGCGATCATTAGAGTCAATTCATCAGGCGGATTATCGGACCCCCGATTGCCGTTGCATCAGATATCACCGACGTATCCATCATAATCTTGTTCAGCTAACTACACACGTACACACACACACGCGCATATACAATTGTTTCCCTTTGCGAAAAATGCAATGCACAATACGCGTCGTTATTCAATCATCGTTACTTTCACGGTAAAGTGCACGCGGAAGAATTATGAGAATCAGAGAGACGCTCCGGTCGGCTCCATCCTCGATCGGCGTTGATGCGATAGCTCCGGAGGCGCTCGGTTACCGTTCGGTGTAACTAATGGCACGCGTAATTACAGAAGAATTTTCCGATGTCCTCCCTACACGGCCGACGCTCTTCAGTTCTCCATCGATCATTCTATCGCGATCGCCGATCATCGCATTCGAGGGCTCCGACGTAATGCCGACATTAGAGCGATCCTAATGACGTTAGATGTCGGCAATCGAGACACAGCCGGAGGTGCGAGCGTCCCCGGATAATTGAATGCTTCGTGTGGCGGCGGTGCGTGCACTCGCATTTTCCTTCGGAACGCTGAGTCCCGCGTTCGCACGATTTATTACCGGCCAGGACCGGTGTCGAGGCAAGATCGAGAGAGAAGCGATCTCTCGCGCGCGGAGTCGTCGCATTCGGCGCGATGCACTGACGTTTCGCGGACCTGTGCAGCCGCGGCGAACCTCTCCGCACTGCACTTGGACGCTGCGTGCACGATCGATGAGAGAACACATCCTCTCCGGTATCGATGACTCAGAGTTTCTTACGGCGAATCGTCACCGCCGCTGGATTTCCTGAATCCTCACGATCCTCGCTGCGGGGTGCCCGCTAGGTTCTAGCCGGAAGTGATACCGAGTCGGCCGGATGGCGTCGTCTCCCGGCGACGTGGACGTTAGTTACACACTTCGGTTATGACGGATAATTTCATGCGTTCATTTACAAGAGTATTTTATCATTCGAAATTGAAAAGCACATACAAGGTATATAATACAACAGTGCACAATACATGTAATATCTCTACGTATACGAGAAAAAATCAGTCTCAAATCAAAAATATTATAATTTTTTTAAAGGATTTTTAATCTTAATTTGATTTAATTTATATTGATGCATTTACATGAATTCGATTCAAAACTAAAAATGTTCTAAGAATATTATAATATTCTTGCTCGTATATGAGAATATCTATCTTGATTTAAGACTAATTCTTTCTGTGCAGTAAAATTTTGTATTACAAATTATTCTACCTAAATTTTTGCGTTACTTTAATAAGGATGAATATGTTAAAAAATAATTAAAAGATTAACAAGATGAATACATTATATATTCATTTAACATATATTCGTGTATTTTTTAACATATTCTCCATGAGCAGTTAAAGCAGCACGAAAATTTCAGTGTTCCATTTTGAACGGAAAATTTTTTACTATGTAATTAATGTCAAATTAAAAATTGAGTATTCTTGGTATAAACATATGTTGTGGGTATGGAACGAAATCTCTCACGAATAAATTATTTTCGAAGATCGGAATCTTAGAAATATTTCTCGGTTTTTTCAAATTCAGATGTCTCAGTAACCCTTTGCCTTACGTCACCATTGTCATTTTAACCGCAAACGACGAGATAATTGACGCGCGGACATTACTTTTAGACAGTAATTATCGGAATACGAGTAAAAAGATACATATTTCACCCTCAAGAAAACTGAAACTTTATTTTTCACGCGGAACTTTTTCGATAATTTATATTAAGTGCCATTTCTTTTCTAAAGTGGGATGTCCGTTCGTATGTACAGAGAGATCGTATATTAGGAGAAATTGTTCCAATATTTGGGGACGTCCGAGTTCCACGTTTTCTGAAGGCTCTCAGCCTCCGTACGTGTTCAGAACCTCGTGTTCTCTTGGCTCGACGGAACATGCGAAGGTGTTGGGTTACAAGCAAAGTGCTTTAACACCACGCCTTTGAATTCCAAAACGACGAAAACGTTAATTCATTCGTGACGTGTGACGCTTTATAAATATAAGAAAGAAGCCATGGCGTGCACGGAGCGAGGAATGTTCATGGAAAGCATATTTTCGTTCCGAGTGTGGTGACTAATTTACGACAATGTCGATGAGATAATTAACGCGCGCGCGCGCGCGCGCATGACATGCGTAGCGAGCACGAATAGAAATTACTTCAGTCTCCCATTTTTTCACCCACGCATGATCAATTTCAAAGTAGTAACCTACTAATATTTACACGAGCGTGTATATATATATCAATATTTATATCTAAGAAAGGAATAGAAAATTCAGATAACTATAATGATAATTGTTAAGCCGTACCTTCGAGTCTCCGCGTCGAGCTGTGTCGCATAATCTCACGCGGATACGATTATTATGTGGCACTCATTAACATCACGACTCGCTCTGATATTCGACGATTGGGTCGGCAGGCATGAATGACAACATCCCGTTTAACTCGACGACTTCTCGACGACGATTCGAACACACACACACACACACACACATGCACATACAGACACAAAAGTGCAACCACCATCCTTCCTATTCGTGATCTCTCACTTCCTACTTTAATTACACTTATCACCATCGATATCGCGCCGGTTTTTCCCTTCGATGAGCCTACACGCGTTTTATCGGTCGGAACCATATGTGCACGCCAACGTCGCGGAAGTGCAGCCTCGCGAGCGACTCTTTCCGCACACTTCCATCGATTTCCACGCGAGAAGCGCCTTCACGTGGCGAACTGAACACCAGGACGGTCCAAGGGAGTCTCCGGCAAATTTTACCCGGAACGTGGCACGTGCATACACGTTTAAATGTGTGGGTGCCCGTGTGTGTGCATGCGTGCGTGCGTCTATGCACACACAAACACACACACACGCGTGTGTGTATGTCGTTCCGGAACGAGCACGTGTCACGTGGCCCTTAAGCCTAGCTCACAAGGGCCGGAGGTAGCAATAGTAGGTCTATTGTAGTGGATACCGCCGATGCTGCGCCCGTATAGAGCGACCGTCGGCGGAGGGTAGACCCAACGAGACTCTTCATAGGGGAACTCAGTCCTCGCGTTGTACACCAAACATCTGCCCGAGACCCCACCACTGCCATCGTCCGCCCCATTTTGTCTTTGGACGCGGTACATTTTTTTTATCATGCTGGAACGAACTCCGATTAGATACGCCTTGGTATCGCATATTCGGATCTCAGCGTGATAGCGATACTCAAAGGACTCGGGTCGGCTCGACCTTCTTAAACCTTCTTAAACGTCGCCTGACCTTCGACGTTTCTTACCAGTGCGGCACAACTCGAGTCTTTGTTAATTTATCTTCACAATTCGGTCGAGAAACGCTCGGAATACTCATCTCGTTGGGAAAGTTTTATCTTCGTAATTAGATCCGCGATACTTTCATTCCTCCTCGTGTGCGGTCGGCGATCGATTACACGGATTAATTAATCCAGGTGGTAGTGAGATTCGATTAAGAAGTTAATGACGAGCGATTTGTGCGATTACGTAATATGAATTTCAGTAAGAGCGAGAGAGAGAGAGGGAGAGAGAGATTTGATTCTGGGGTGAAAAACTTCTTTAGGTTTACAACACTAAAAGCATTGGACATAATAGTAACATGTTTAAATTTACAATGTTTAGGTTATTATTACACTTATAAAAAATTTGGTTGAATTAACATAACGATGAATGAACCGAACACGTTTTGGCTGAAGGAAACAGGATTTCTCGTCCTTATAAATCAAATTCGGTCCTTAAAACTAGAAATTCTGTTCCGTTCGATCAAAACGCGTTTCATTCATTTATTGTCACGTTAATCCAATCAAACATTTTATCAATTCAAACTTTTTTTTACATGTAGTTACGAGAGAGAGATATGTATGCGACCTCGCATACACTCGGAACATCGGCGACACAGTTTTCACTCGTGACTGCGCCGAGCTATTATCATTAACGCTCTTTCGTGCATTGTCTGCGATCCTTCTTGGCGCGCCCATCGCTGACCCCTTCTTAATAAACCGTGAAACCATTCTAATTGCACGGGTTGCACGGGTGCGTAAACGTCGCCGCGACGCGGGGGGTGTGGCGCGGCGTTAAATTTGCATCGCACTTCCGGCGCGAATCCGACATTCGGTGCGACATGCCGCGCTCTGTGCGTAGATTTACATCACAATGTAACAATACTCGGCGCGACAATAGCGGAGAGTAGCGGCATCTAGTCGCGGGCAAATTTTACATTACGACAAAAGCATGTTACAGAACATAGCACACAGCGTAGCTGGCTGAGTGTGCGTGCATGTGTTTGCTCCGTATGCGATTACGCGTCGCGCGTAAAAAGAGTCTATGAACCAGTTTACACTGTGTTGGCTGCGGAAATGTCGCGGGTTTTTCAATGAACCTTAGCGAAGCGAAACCTGAAGTTGAGGGTTAAAGTCGTCGGACTATTGTGAATCCACGGAGGAAAGTATACGTCGAATGATCTCGGTTGTCCGATGTTCATTTCTCAGCTTCATCGTTGTCTGGCGACGAACGAATCTCACCGAGGAAACTTTAGCGTCCACGTCCGCCGCCGCGGCGAGAAAGTTGCAAGGTCGCGCGCATCGATCGCGTCGCCCGAAATTCAAAGTTCCAAGAGGTCGTCTGCCTGTCTGTCTGTCCGTCCTACGCTACAGTCCGCGGCGCGAAATCACGACCGCCACGAGTTCTGGCCCTAATTGCTGTCAATTGCTGCCAATTGCTCGGCGACCGTTGCCGCAGCTGTAATTTGCGGCTCGCGCGAACGTCATCGCTACGCGAGATCGTTGCATACGCAATGCGATTGCAATGCCGGGCACAATTATAACGACGATCGCTTTAACCGTGTATAGCGGTGCAACGTGCGACTCCGCCGTGACCTGTCTCGCGATCGCTTCGGCGCTTTTTCCTTTCTCCTCGATGTTGCCCGTGATAATAATTCGTCGGCCGGGGAAGAGACGGCGAATTACACGCGAACGCTGCCGAGTTTCACGCGCTTTTACATCGCGCTAATTTTCCAGTCCGCGTGCAGAATGATTTTTAATTGCACGGTAATTTCGCGAAGGCGAGTTATCGTATCCTGTTCCGGGGCGGATAAGTAGAAACGTTGTACGAAGTGTGAGGTAGACGGTCGCTCATTTCCACTCTCCGAGAGGATACGATATTTCAAAATACCCTCTATTCAGTGGTCCAAAAAAAAGTTTTTCGAACGCGCGCTATATATTTTTTTTTTCTGTCAGAACTATCTTTCAACTTCATTGCTATACGGTTGCAGATAAAATTGAAGTGAAAAAATGACGATTTTTTAAAATAAATTTACGTGGACTGGATTCGCGAGTCATCTGCCCGTCATTCCGGTTCATAAGTATGATATCGAGCTAACAAGAGAGCACGGGCGCTACGTGAAGCAGAAGGCGATCCTACCGTCGTCCTTGATGCGTTTCTCCTAACAAGGGCTGGCGGTTGGCTCGACCAAGTGCGATCGTGCCATACGACCACGTGAACATGCCATAAAGAGATCAGACATGCCCTTCCAAGAAAGTCCAAGAACAAGATTCCGAGACAGGAAGAAATCCTCGGGGAAATGAGGGACGTGTCCCGCTACGTGGA